ATAAAGGTTCACATTTACATGCATTGAAGAAATTCCCTGTATATAAATGGAATGGACAGCCACAGAAATACACTCACCTGCAGTGCACAACAACAGGTGTATGTAAGGGTCTCTGGTGAAGGTAGTGTCCATGAACCTCTTGGATGAACCGCAGCAGATTGTTCTTGCTATCAGGAAGGCCCCTAATGGGATATGAAGAAATAATATTTGATGTACTTAGGTTGCACTGCCCGGCTGACTAAGAAAAGTCTTTATCTGCAGCTTTTAATATAAAGAGATGACTTACAGCTCTGGCCAGGAAGTAAACTGGAGATGGACAACAGTCCGCTTTAGGCTTTGGTCACGGTACTGCAGACTGATCATGCGCTCCACGTGTGTTGGTGTCATCTTCTGTGTTGTTAGGCTGAGTGTTATTGGTCCCTGAGAGAGTTGCTGGCCACGCTCCGTTGGGAAGTAACGCCAAACCTTTCCCTGTGAGGATATAGAAGATGTTAAACACACAAACAACAAAGTAAATGAACTTAATGATGTGTAGCTTAATTTATTTGAAAAAAAAAAAAAGAACCACAAAAAACTTTAAGTTCTCTTGTAAAAAGCATTTTTACACACTACTGAAAAATAGTAATGTACAGATTATATACTTCCACTGTGCAAACTAAACTAAACTCTGTACCTTTTCCAGCTCCTGATCCGAAACCAGCATAACAATCAGTGACACTTTCTGCTCATAAACCATCAGCCAGAAATCTGCTGCTGTGCCGGTGAGCGGAGCCTGCGTGGCAATAAGGCGTGGGCAGTATGGTGACAGGTCTTCCACATAGCTAGCGTTAATGTAGTCATCTTTCCCTGACTGTAGCACCACTCGGTTTATGTCATAGGGCATTACGTCCTGATGACGGTTCTTCATGGTGTAGCAGCGGGCAATAGCAATGGAAAGCTGGCGAGCATCTTTCTCCTGCTGGTCCTGTAGCTCTTTCCAGCGGGCATCCAGCACAGAAAGCCCTCCCTCATTCTCTGAGGGGTTCTCCAGGGAATCTACTTGGGCTCTGTAACGTTCTAGTTCACTGTGAAGGCGGGCGACACGCTCTGGGGCCTGGTATGGGTCACCCTGGATCAAGAGAACTCCCTGGGAGCTTTTCTTTCTACGCTCCCCATCCTGAGGGTCAGCTTTGGTGGGTTGGAGAACATTAGTGGGGGCCTTGGTGCCTCCCGGTTGGCTCTCTGGACTTGAGGACAGGAGGTCATCTGTGCTTGAGTTCTGTCGTTCAAACAGTGAAGTGGAGGGAGAAACAGCAGAGGGAGAGGGAAGAGTCGATTGGGCTGTGCCTCCAGGAGTCGGGGTTGGAGCGGGCCTCTGCTGAGGGTTCAGACCTAGAGAAGACGGACCTGGAGAGGGTGCTGGGGAGGGAGAAGGTGAAGGGGAAGGTGGGATACTGTTGGGTGGCTGTGATACTGTAGGGCCTCCAGGAGTGGGCTGAATCATGTGCTGAGTAGGTGGGGCATGTATACCATGTGGGCCTATGGCAGTGGGTGGCTGTGGGGCACTTGAAGGTACATTAGGTCCTGGAGCTGGAGAATACATAGCTGAAGGCTGTGGATGTGTCATAGGAAGAGGAGCCTGAGGTTGTTGCGGAGCAGCAGGCTGTGGTGCCAGAGGCTGCTGAGGCATCATTGGCGCTGCTCCAGGGTAGCATACGCCCCCAGGATGAGGCAGCTGAGATTGGGGTTGGTTGGGCATCCGCATGGGCTGCTGCGGCATATTTGGCATGGGAGGCTGTCCGGGGTGATGGTGGTGCTGTGGGGGTAGCGTATTGGAGGGCATTTGAGGCATAGGCCCCCTTGGCAAGTGGCCCTGAGGACCAGGAACCATATGGGGTTGTGAAACAGGAGGCATCTGTGGGTGCATTGTAGAGTGGATGGGTTGGCTCGTTGAGGGCATGTAGTTTTGTGAAACTGGAGGCATCGGCTGACTTGTGGGGGGCACTGGTGCTCTGGGACCACCTGGTATTTGCATCTGTGGGTGAGGCGGTATCTGCTGGGCACCGGGGGGCATGGAGACCTGTTGGTGCTGTGGTAACATGTGTTGATGAGGGAGTGCTTGGGGCATCTGTTGGTTGGAATGGGGTGGGTAGGGTTGAGATACAGGGGGTGCTGCTTGAGAAGATGGGGGTCCTGGTGGGTGTGTAATCTGAGGTGGCCTTGGCATGGAGCCTGGCATCATTTGAGGGTGTTGAATGTAGCCCTGTGGAGTCTGGTAGCCTTGGGCTCTTGGAGGCTTCGCCTGAAAGCCATTTTGTTGTGACTGTAGCTGACCTGGAAATGCCTGCTGGTACTGGGGAGGAACACCAGGCTGTTGGGGCATATATGGATGTGGGTAGGTTTGTTGGTTTTGAAGAGGATGAGAGCCAGGAACAGCCCTTGGTCCGGGCTGGTAGCCCTGAGGGAGTGGTTGTCCAATTGGCTGGGGGTACTGCTGTGGATGCTTCTGCTGTTGGGACTGGGGAGTCTGGCCTACACCCGGAATGGGACCTGTCGGTTGGGGAACAAACTGGGGGTATGCCCCTATCTGTGGAGGCACAGTGTAACCAGCTGAGGCTGCAGGTGGGACAGGGTGGTGTTGTGTGGGGGTGTAGCTGGGTATAGGTGCCTGGATGCTGTCAACCGTGGTGGTTGAAGGTCGAACAGGGACAGGGGCAACATGGCCAGGTTGGGGAGCTTGAGGAGGGGGAGGCCGATAGCTAGGGAGCCCTGCCTGGGGTGGCATTTGTGGAGGCCTCTGTGGAGTCATCTGTGGTAGGGGCCCACGTGGCAGGGGTCCCTGTGCTCCATGAGTCCCTGCAGTAGGAAACTGAGCAATCCGTGCCAGGAGTTCTGGAGGTGGCAGGTTAGCAGGGAAGCACGGAAGACCAGCAGCTGAAGCAGCCGGCCAAGGCAGAGAGGTGCTACCCAAGTTAGCACCAGGTTGCATGTAGGCATCAGGACCAGGCAGATGTGCTGCAGTGCGAGGGAGGGAAGGAATATCAGGAGGCAGGCTGCGGAGATCCTCAGGCAGGTCACCTCCCAAGGCCAAGATGGCCGCATTGATCTGGGCCAGTTCTGGATCCTCTAGGCTAGAAGAGGTGGAGTCAACATCCTTTGGCTTAAGGGACGGCTTAGCTGCCGTCGGCCTCGCTGGTGGCTTTTTCTGGGTCTCTCTGAGGAACGGCCAACACAAAGAGGACAGCATGAAAAATCAGAAATGTAGATAGCATTTGTCTTTTACAAGTAGTTATAAGTTACTACTACATGAAGTACTAGTGATTTGTTGACTATAATTAAAGTACTCAAAAAGCTTTAAAATATTATTCTAATGTCTTCCTTACTTTTCGAGTATGGGCTTCCTTTCCTCTGCCCTGGTCTGACACAGGGCCTTTGCCCTCTCCAGTAGACGTGATGCTTTAGCTTCCAGGTCATCGTAGAACTCTTTTCCCTCCTGTGATTTTTTCATCAGGTCCTCGTAGGCTTCATATGAGCCCACCAGTCCCTGGATAGTTGTGTTCCACTGCTGCTCAGTCTGGGTCAGGCTTTTCCGAACAGAAGCGTATTGAACATTGGCTTCGGTTAAAGCCTTCAAGATGTTTTCCTGCGCTGCGAGGTTCTGGTCGATGTATACCTTTACTTGTTCGTACTTCTTCAGCTGCTCCTCAAATATGTGCTGGAGAGACACAAGTTAATAAGTCTCTCACGACAGCATTTAT